GATAACAGATACAATTTATCCTTGGGGCCTAGGTCAGAAAAGATGTTTTTATTATTTTCACGATAAATCTCTAAACACCAGGAATGTTTGTGTCTTGGTTGTAGCGTACCCAGTCACTTCTGAAAGCTACAGTACAGAACTTGGGCATTACAGTATTAAGTGAAATACCTAACTGGATTCTCAACATGATACAGAATTCTAACTTTCTATAAGAAGGCAGATTTCGTCTCAGTAGTAAGGCAGATTTCTCTCAGTAGTAAGGCAGATTTAGTCTCAATCTAGAATCCACAATAAGGCAGATTTTGTCTCAATAATAAGGCAGATGTCTTTGTAACGCATAAGGTTGATGTGTTCTTCAAGTATAGTTATAGTGTGTTCTATCTGTAATGTTATTGATGTGTTCTTCAAGTATAGTTATAGCAGTGTGTTCTATCTGTAATGTTATTGATGTGTTCTTCAAGTATAGTTATAGCAGTGTGTTCTATCTGTAATGTTATTGATGTGTTCTTCAAGTATAGTTATAGCAGTGTGTTCTATCTGTAATGTTATTGATGTGTTCTTCAAGTATACCAGCATGTTCTCTCTCTAACTGCGATGTTATTCAGTTCTACAATGGCACAAATAACTCGACATTCTACAACATACTTGTCAACATTTGCCAGTCAATCATTATACATCAACCCACACCGCTCATTATACATCAAACAACACTATTCACTATACATGATGATATAACCAAAGCATTATAGATGGTGTTATAGATATGGTGTTATAGATAGACGTCAAGGGCGATCGTTAAGGGATACAATCGTTAAGGGATACGATAGTTTATGTTCCCGGCGACGACGTGACCCCATTGATCGTCACTACGGATGGGGGCTCAGTCGTGGGGACGGTGGGCGATTGAGGCGGAGGCATACGAGGTCGTTTCATGATATGGGTGGGATGGCGGTTTAACTACGCCGTTGGGGCCATCATGCCGTTGGTGTAGACCGGCCGTTAGAGTACGTGTGAGCAGGGGAGTTGTTGTAGCTACCAGAGGACATGTCTGCGTACTCTTCTCCGTACTCTTCCACATCCTCTGGGATATTCTCATAAATATTATTCCCTGATGAAATAAACGAACGTCTTTTAGTGATGGCGGAAGGGGGGAGGGGGGAGCAGTTTTAGTGATGGGAAAGGAAGAAAATGATGCACACAACTAATACAACTAAAATAATAAAACAAAAAACTAAAATACAGAAATAAATCTCATTAAATACAAAAAAAAATTCAAATTCTAAAAAAAATCTAAATACAGCGGATCTTTTATTTAATGAACCATATGGAGAGGAAAGTCCATTATATCAAGGTTCCGTTATATGTGGAACTTCTAATTAATGAACTATATGGCAAGAAAAGTCCATTATATCAAGGTTCCGTTATATGTGGAACTTCTAATTAATGAACTATATGGCAAGAAAAGTCCATTATATCAAGGTTCCGTTATATGTGGAACTTCTAATTAATGAACTATATGGCAAGAAAAGTCCATTATATCAAGGTTCCGTTAGATGTGAAACCCCCATTTAATGAACTACTGTATAGAGAAAAACCGTTATAGAGGTCGACTACTGTACTCGACCCTAAACGACCTCACCTGTTGTCGGGTCGCTGAGGTCAGCATAGCTCATGGCATTATGACGACCTTCTGAAGGCTTCAGGGTCACTGGTGGCTCTCGCTCCTTACCCTTCTGCTGGTGTCTCCTGGAGGAGCAGCAGCAGGTGTTAATGTTATCAGTAAAATAAATCACTCTTAAATCTTCACCTATTTGTTTTTTGCATATTTTTACATCAACTGAACTTGTTATATTCTTTACCTGAGGTAGAGAGGAGGTGGTGGAAGGCTGGGTCTGGGCTGTATCTTGGCACCTGCTTCCTTTAGTTGTGTTGTGAATCACTTACCATCCTGATATTGGAGGAGAGAAGCCTGGTACAGCAGTACAAGTGAGGCAAGATGTGTGGTACAACAGTACAAGATAAGTGGTACAGCAGAGTGCACACCTCTCCTTGACAAGGTCCAGAACCTACTGAAAGTAAAGTCCCAAGTTATTACCTATAAAAGGTTTCAAGCAAGATATTTTCACAATACTAATTTATCCTAATACAGTATTGTATAACATGACCCTAAACTGAAGGTTTTATCCCTATGGAAGTACCACATTAATTCACTTAATCTAGCACAGTAATTGAACTATCAATAAATTAGTGATGCACCATTAATGATAATTCACAACCAGATTCAAAACTTCCCAATATTCTGCCGCCAGATTTAAAACGAACAAACAGATTTTTCTATAATTTAGGTCAATTTTATCATGCAGGTAAAACGGTTATGTCACTATATTATATAAAGTCTCACCAGCAAAGCCAAACAAACAAAGCAAAATATCAGTTGAATATAATACAGTACAGGAGTACTGTACTGTATTTAAATAAAGCAATTTACTCTGGTGGTAGAGAGACCATTCACAAGTACCTCAACTTTAGTAATAGTCTTACAGAATTCTTGACGCTGCAATATCAAGTAATTAAAAGCACCTGGGTTTTAAATTTAATTGTTGTGGCGTTTAAGTCTACCCGGAACAACACTTAGTCATTATTGACGCAACTCGCCAATCAAGGGTCAACGATTTATAGGTAAATAATTTCAAGCTGTTAGTAACTGCAACCATCCAGCAAGAATACCATGTATACATTGTCTACATTAATCCATTATATATGTTACCGCCACAGTAAGATAAGCTAGAAGAGAGAGAGAGAGAGAGAGAGAGAGAGAGAGAGAGAGAGAAAGAGAGAAAGAGAGGGATAACCATAACAAGATAAACTAGGCGAGAGAGAGAGAGAGGGGATGAGATAAGAGATATAGTGTTGACAACGAATTTGCTGACCAATCTGCTGTGTTTCAATACGAAAACATATGGCCCTCGCCTCCAGGCTGAGATTGCCCTCGAGGGGAGTCAACTGATTTCTACAGGACAGACAACACGTTGGTTCAGACCACTAGACCCTAAAACGTTTTGACCGAATTATATGGTACGCGTCAACGTTGAGGGTTTATTTCTCCAGCAACAAACCAATAACGCTCCTATGAGCGTTAACAGTCAAAACGTATACGGGAGGACTGTCGAAGGACCAACGCCGGAGTTCAGCGTGGGAGAGCATAGGCTCGTCGATCGCCCGCCCGCCCACCCACCCATAGTGGATGGATCGCCCACCCACCCACAGTGGGTGGATCACGTGCGTCGTCAGCAGCGAGGCAGTGATAGTGAGTGTTCTGTGTTTGAGTGAAGTGTCTTAAATACCTGGACAGTGTCGTAAAGCTTTGGTCTGCGCGTACGGGGCTGTGAGCGTTCCTTTCAAACAGGGAGGACGCGCACCCAGTGAGCGAAGGTTTCAGAACACCCGGACAGTGTCGTAATGTTTGGTCTGGTCGGACTGGTAGTTAGTGTTCGCTAGGACACGCACGCAAGTGATTATAACTAACAGCTGATCTTCCTATACCAGTGACACCATAGTATATCAAACAATGATGATAAGGAACCATGAAGAAATACATAAATGAAAGGGATTTGTGGGTTAAGTGTGTTCAACATTAAGGTTATATGTACATGTATGTATATATGTATATATAAGTATGTGTGTGTAATTAAGAAATAACAACGAAGGTTGTGACAAGCCGTAACGTTGTACAAGTAAGGGCGCCGCAGTAGTGTTTGTGACATCAGTTGTGTAACGAGTCCCTACATTGATTGTGGATCTCTGTGGTTGTGTTAGCGTGACAACGTAGCTGGTGTGTGACATCGCTGTAGTCGTGTTTGTGACATCACTCGTGCGTATTACACATCACGTGTATGAGGGACATCGCTCGTGTGTGACATCACTGTGGTCATGTTAGTGTGACATCGTCGCTCGTGCGTGACATCACTGTGGTCGTGTTTGTGTGACATCACTCGTGCGTATTGCACGTCACGTGTTTGAGGGACCGTGTGACATCACTGTGGTCGTGTTTGTGTGACATCACGTGCGTATTGCACGTCACGTGTTTGAGGGACCGTGTGACATCACTGTGGTCGTGTTTGTGTGACATCACTCGTGCGTATTGCACGTCACGTGCTTGAGGGACCGTGTGACATCACTGTGGTCGTGTTTGTGTGACATCACGTGCGTATTGCACGTCACGTGTTTGAGGGACCGTGTGACATCACTGTGGTCGTGTTTGTGTGACATCACTGGTGCGTATTGCTCGTCACGTGTTTAGAGGGACTTCGCTCGTGTGTGACATCACTCGTGCGCATGGCACGCGTCTGTGTGACATCAACTCCAATTGTGTGATATCTGCGATCGTGGACACCTGATACTAAGCGTTACTGCATACACTTATCGAGCAAGACAGATTACGCTTGCTGTTCGGGCAGTCATGGACGGGAAAGAGAATAAGTCAGAAGTGGGGAGCGTGTCCGGCGTAGAACAAGGAGATACTGTGGACATAGAGACCGATGTCTCACCCACCTCGCCAAGGCAGCGTGAGATAAACCCGTCTACCGTAAACCTGTCTCCCGAGAAGAGAAAGGAACCACCTGTCAAAGGAATCGAAGGACAATTATGTGAGCAATACCAACAAATGCAGCAAATGTTCGCTCACATGACAGCGATGATGCAAAACGTCACCGAAGGTATGAATCAACTACAAGGCAAGGGCAGCACAGAAGATCGCGGAAAGGTGTTATCACCACCAGACTAAACTTTCCTCTGTAATTGAAACTAACGAAGAAACGTTATATACTCCAAGGGGACTCCCGGCGCTCACCTTAACCGAGGAGCCGGGAACATCTCACCAGGGGGAGCGCGGGAGTACTTCCGAGCATCAAGCTAGTTCGCCGAAACCACTACTTTTGATGAAAAACAAAAGGGACGACCCACCAAGGTCCGAGGTTTGGGTGAGAGAACTGCTAGAGAATATGAGGTTCTCCCAAAGGCCAACGCCGAAGTTCAGCGGAGGAACTTATAGTGAATACTGGGAGTTCAAGCGAGTCTTTCAGCGACACGTTGGGATGGCGCAGATACCTGATACCTTGAAATTAGACACACTTCTCGCTGCCTACGCTGGGCCCGCTAAGGACGCTTTGCGGGGATGTCTGCAAATTCTAGATCCCAAAGCCGGGTACAAGGAAGCTTTGGACATATTGGAGAAACGTCACGGCAGTAAGCACACTTACGTTTGCCAGCTAATAAAGAAGGCCCTGCGAGGTCCAACTGTGAGACTAAGTGACGCAAAGGGCCTCCAACAGTTCTCAGACGAACTGGGGAATTGCGTGAGGAACTTGAAGGTCTTGGGAGAACTACGTCAGATTGACACGTATGAATCAATAAGAACGTTAGCTCAGAAGTATAAAGAAGAGATGAGACGTCTAATCGACGAGGGACATGCTGAGCGAGTCCCACGTCAAGAACTCAGTGTTGTACCCGGGAAGACCTGGTATCTCCCACACCACCCTGTGTTGAATCCCAACAAGCCAGAAAAGGTGAGAATAGTGTTTGATTGTGCAGCCGAATACGAGTCGATGTCGTTGAACAGCCAGGTGATGCAAGGGCCAGACCTTGACAACAAATTGATGGGAGTCCTCATCAGATTCAGACAAGGAAAGGTGGCACTCATGGCTGATATCGAGGCAATGTTCCCACCAAGTGCGAGTAGTACCCGAACATCGAAATGTCTTACGATTCTTATGGTGGACGGACGACCAGCTGTCAGGGGCCCCCACCACTTACCGAATGACAGTACATCTCTTTGGAGGAGTGTGGAGTCCTTCATGCGCCGGGTATGCGCTACAACGGACATTCCAAGACTACGGGGAAAGTCTTCATGACGACATCAAGAAAGCGAATCGTAACTTCTACGTCGACGATTTGCTTCTCTCAGTACATTCGCCGAGAAAGGCAACGATAATTACCCATCGGCTGAGACAGCTGATGAAAAGGGGCGGATCCAGACTTACGAAGTGGGTCTGTAATCACAAGAAGGTCCTCAAGGCAATTCCACAGACAGAGAAAGCTGTGGGAGTAAAGGAAGTAATTTTGAAAGATGACAGGCTCCCCACTGAACGAGCGTTGGGAATCTTGTGGGACCTGGAAAAGGACGAACTAATGGTCCGGGTCCGGGTCCGGGTCCGGGTCCAGATCCCTAAGAAACCGGAGACGAAAAGAGGCCTTCTGAGTATGGTCAGCTCCATATATGACCCACTGGGACTCATCGCTCCGAGTGTCATAAGAGCCAAAATCATATTCCAAGATGAGTGTAGACGAGGTGTTGGGTGGGATGAACAAATCACTGAACAAAACAGGGTCGCATGGCAAAGATGGCTGGATGAACTACCTCACCTATCACGAGTTCACGTTCCACGGTGCTACCGACCAGAGGATATGAATCCAGTGACTACCGTGCAACTACATAACTTCTGCGACGCCTCCCAACGAGCGTATGGAGCTGTATCGTATCAGAGAACCACGTGTGAAGATGGAACTCACCATATCTCCTTCGTGTGTGGTAAAGCCAAGCTAGCCCCTCTGAAACAGCAGACCATACCTCGACTTGAGCTCTGCGAGGCAGTACTGGCTGCCAAGGCAGACAAACAACTACGGCAAGAGCTTGAATCACATATAGACAGATCAGTGTTCTGGACAGACAGTACGGCAGTTCTTCAATACATACGAAACACCGAAAGACGCTTCCAGTCCTTCGTGGCCAATCGAGTGGCAACGATACACGAGGACTCCAATGTAGAACAATGGCGCCACGTGACGTCGGCACTGAACCCGGCCGACGACGCTAGTCGTGGATTACATGGAGCAGAGCTCAACGAGGAGGGCAGGTGGATTCGGGGACCTGCTTTCCTCTTTTTGGAAGAAGACAGTTGGCCAAAGAGTCCATTGAGGATTCCAGACCTCACAGACGGAGACCCAGAGGTGAAGAAGGAAACCACGGTGCTGACGGCGAACGTTGACCAGGGGGAGGGTATCCTCGATAAGCTATGGGCCAGGTACTCATCGTGGCATCGACTTCTGAAGAGCGTAGCGTGGATTAGAAGGTTTATAGAATGGCGGCTTGGGAAGCGAAAGAACAAACATCACCGAAAAAATCGGCTCCAGGTCAGCGAATTGGAAGAGGCGAAATTAGCTGTCTTAAGATTTATGCAAAGGAAAGGATTCCCTCGAGAACTAGGAATGTTACTACAGGGACAACCCGTGAGAGGTAGCGACATAAGGCAGCTGGAACCTCATCTAGACACAGACGGTCTGATCAGAGTAGGTGGCCGACTGAAGCACGCCGCTCTCCACCCAGACCAGGAGAATCCCATACTATTACCAAGGGACAACAGGATCACGGGGCTCATCGTGAGAGAGGTACACTCAACTAGAGCTGGACACTCAGGACGAGAACACACTCTTGCCATAATACGTGAGACGTACTGGATACCTAAGTGCCGAAAATTACTCGACCGCACAATACGGACGTGTGTGACTTGTCGAAGAAGCAACTGGAGGCCTACCCATCAACGCCAAGCCGACCTGCCAGAAGATCGAGTGCGCCCAGGAGGCCGGCCGTTCACCTACACTGGAATTGATTGCTTCGGCCCTTTTTTGGTTAAACAAGGACGAGCCCGGGCGAAGAGATGGGGATGCTTATTCACCTGCCTGACCACCAGAGCCATACACCTAGAAGTCCTCACCTCACTAGACACCGACTCGTTCCTCAATGCCCTAACAAGATTCACCTGCCGCAGGGGACCTCCCAAGCGTGTTCGGTCTGACAGGGGAACCAACATGATTGGAGCTAACCGAGAGTTACGAGAGGCGGTGAACGGCTGGAACAACAGTGACAAGGTCGGGAATGCCCTTCTACAGAAACAGATAGAATGGCAGTTCAACCCCCCGACAGCCTCTCACATGGGAGGAGTGTGGGAGCGACAAATCCGCACTGTAAGGAAGGTCCTCCAGGGAGTGGTGGGCACCCAGACACTAGACGATGAACGCCTCAGCACTGTGTTCTGTGCCGTAGAAGAGATCATCAACGGAAGGCCCATCACCCCAGTGTCTGACGACCCAAAGGATCTAGAAGCACTAACGCCGCTCCACATACTACGGATGAACCCGGAGACACTGTCCACCGGAGGCGATCGGTCCATGACAGAAGGGTACCGACGAAGATGGAAGCATGCCCAATTCATTGCGGACCAATTTTGGAAAAGGTGGGTAAAAGAATATCTCCCAACATTACGTCAGCGACAAAGGTTCTTCAAAACTCGCCGTAATCTCCACGCTGGGGATATCGTGATCATCTCTGGACAACCCCTTTCCAGGAGTCAGTGGATGCTAGGGAGAGTACTGGAAGCTCTACCGAGCAAAGATGGCCTGGTGCGAAGTGTTAAAGTGGAGACAAAGGACTCAGTGTTAATACGCCCAGTGACGAAACTCTGCCTGTTGGAAGGGGTGGGAGAGTGAATCTAATAATATGCCGTGATTTCGTGCGAAGCCCGATAGGGGGAGTGTTACCGCCACAGTAAGATAAGCTAGAAGAGAAAGAGAGGGATAACCATAATAAGATAAACTAGGCGAGAGAGAGAGAGGGGATGAGATAAGGGATATAGTGTTGGCAACGAATTTGCTGACCAATCTGCTGAGGTGTTTCAATACGAAAACGAATGGCCGTCGCCTCCGGGCTGAGATTGCCCTCGAGGGTAGTCTACTGATTTCTACAGGCCAGACAACACGTTGGTTCAGACCACTAGACCCTAAAACGTGAGTGATCGTGAAGTATTAGAATCTGCTAAGAAACTCTAAATAACTTTAATAAATATATTTGTGTACTGCAATTTGATCATATTATACCAATTGTCTCCTGTATCAATAGTTATAACACGTTATATTTAAGATGGGCTATGTACTTATCATCCTGAGCAACAGCAACCCAATAACGCTCCTATGAGCGTTAATATATATATATATATATATATATATATATATATATATATATATATATATATATATATATATATATATATATATATATATACACACACTGTACGGTAGAGTATAATAAAAAGTACAGACTAATGTTCTAACTAATTATAATCTAACCAACCCTATCTGGTCTGGTGTTGGAAAACCAGCCAAAGTGCCCAGGAAAGAAATTACTATGGATGTGAAAATGAAAGCAATAAAGGTCGAGGCAGGGGAGCTTCAGCGAGGCAACCGTGATAAACCTCACCAAGCTCAGAACAAATTAACTAGCAAGTGCTACTAAATTGATATTCATTTATTATTGATATTAAAGTCTCCTCATGACAGCCATTGTTTGTTGGCTTGAGTTGTCTGCACCAGCTTAAGGTTTACTTGTTGTATAGAGACTGATGGAAAATCCGCATATTGCTAAGCAACACCGACTTTTTTTTCTAATGTTCAAGACCTATTTTGGAACATTTAATCATTTACTCATTCTCTAATAAAATATAATATTCTAAGGGAGTTCTTTATCATTTTGACTAATTTTGTTGAGAACTGCTCTCCAGTCTCAACAACCCATCTCGTTCATTATGAGTTATGATACTGTACAGAGTCGTTCTTAGTTCTAATTTGGAATAATATCGGCAAATAAAATATCTTATGTACTTTTACGATGCTACAGTATATAAAACTTTGTCGTCGGCGACAGTCTTTACCAGATTATTTTTCTCCTCAGATGAAATAAAAGCTACTTTGTCTGGCATGATAATAGATTCATCACCGTATAATTAAGTGCTGTAGACAGATCTGCACAGAGGATACTGCCATGTTATCCAATCAGAACCTTAAGACAATGATCAGTGGCAGAGTGACATTCCCAGAAGTGAACAAACTAACTGGTTTCCGTAATTACTGTATTTTGCCGGTATTAAAAATGTTACCTAGTAATTTCTTAACCCAAAACAGACAGCAAAACTGCATCAGCTAAAAATTTGTTTCCCGATATTGATAACACAAAATATTGATATCTGTAGCCGATATCAATTAGTGAATCCCTAGTATTGTAGAATACTTCATTGAATTTACACTTGGAACGAGACAAACGACAAGGCAGTCCATGGGTTACAATTACTGTACTTTATCAAGAGTTAAGTGAAAAAACCACAATGAGAGAAGTCGTGTACTGTACCCAACCTGACGCTTTTTGGTGCAGTGCAGGAAGAGTTCCCCAGAAGAAAACTATCATTTCTTGCATCCTCCATCTTCAAGTCATCATCCTGGAATGAATAATTATTACAACTTCTGTACTAATAAAAAATTAAATAGTCTACCTACAGTACACTGCCTATATACAGT